TAGGAAGAGGTAAAAAGTGGTGCTGTTTTGCTTCATAGCGAATCGCCTTATGATGAACATTATCAGGTTACATATCGAATCGCTGATCTTAGCAAAGATCGTTGCTTGGGAAATCGATCGAAAATTAGAATTCTGAATTGAAAAACAGAAATGAGTGAATGATTTGTTTCGCTTTGTTTTCTTTTATTTTCTTTTATTGCTAGTGTCTGATTATCGACTTAGTTCGCAGTTCCAACGTTATCATCAAAGTGCTGAAATTGCGAAAAACGTTCTGTTTCGTGCCAGGAGGGAACCAGCTTTTGTACGCCCCAGGCTCTGTGCTTTAAAAAGTATGACTTAGGGTTTTGAACCCTCTGATTCCGAAGGTTTGGCTTGTGTCTTAGTATTCATGTGGTAATTTATGAGTAGCGCTTTTTTTTATTTCGTTTACGCTGAATTTATATCTAATCAAAAAGACCCTCTTTAACTCACTTCTCGAAAATCAGTAAGTTCAGTGTGAGGAGCAAATTATTACGCATGGATCCAATTTATTTTAAAGTTTCTGGTCCCAAGATCCTTGCTTTCGATCGATATTTCCTCATAGGAAATCATGGTTTCGCTATAGAAGTGCTCTTTTCAAATCTGCTTGGTTTTTGCCTACCTGTTTGTGCCTCACTCTATCCTCTGTTCAAATCTGTGCCTTCAATTCAGAATAGTGGCTGACCGAGTGACTTTTCATTTCGTGGTCACCAAATACTTATTTTTGCTTAGAAGAGCCGAAATTATTCACATATACATGAGTATTCTGTTCTAGATTCAATTGCTATGACGTCGGTTACATTACATGGCGTCACCGATACGTTATCAGGACAAAATGAAAAGGTGCGTTTTTTCGTATACTCCAACCGAGTACATCACTGTTGTAGTTATTGAAGTCGATTCCTTAGTAGTCTAATTTGCTTCATATTTGTGATTGAAGAGCAAAATTTGGTCGTTCGATTCCGCTCTTATAGTGCTCTTTAGTCTTGTTTAATCATTAGCAACACACTCGAGGATCAGTTTATGCCGTTGCTTTCAGTATGCATCAGCGTTGGAAACCGCTGCTGCCGCATTCAGGGAAGTCGAGCAACTTTTCAATGACCCAGCTTACGCACAAAGGTCAGGTTGGCGGATAGACGAAGAAAATGATGAAGGAGACGTTGTCTACGCTAAGAATACGCCCAAAGGCAAAATGGTCACGATTTCGGTAAGTCATAATTCCCTTGGGCGTCATTTGGGTTTGGTTTGTGGAATTGCTACGCTATCTCATGATCGTGTTATTTTGCAGAGGGATCGGGTATTGAGAATGAGCACATTTTCAATACTGCATTTTCAATTGCTTTTAGAGAACTCTATGAGTGAACCACTAAATATTAACTCATTCATTTGGTCATAAGAATCAGTGAATCAAGCCTGAAAATTCTGAATTCGACCGTTTTTCCTTGTCAATTTATGCATCTTCCAGTATCTGCTTACAGATTCGATATCAAGAGAAGAAAAAACTTTTTGGGCTTATGGTGTTTTTCTTCGGTTTTAGCCACTTTTTTCTGACCCTCACTTATCAACAATATCGTGCGTAGCAGGGGGCTCCAGAACTTCTCCAATAGGACCTTAATAAAAGAACCAGGTTTGTTGGCTTATTAAATCATTAATGGTTTTTCAGACGGAGCTACCTATTGATGTTGATTCGGCAATGAACGAAACCTGGATCGGCGTTGATGATCTACCAAACTGGAACCCTAACATCAATTTCGCCCGTACAGTTGCATCTCCTACTCCCAATTTCGATATAATTACCGTGAGTTTTTACACGTTCAAATCTATTTGTGAGAAAACGAGACGTATAACTATTTGAGACAAATGTAAATGGATGTGTAAAAAATGTAATTTAGTGGTATGCATATCTGTGACCACTTGTTTCAAAGAAGCATCGCGTACATAGCTTTCAAATAGTTTAGATAAGCTACTTAAGGTTGCTTCATAGTCGGAAAGAGTTAATTCAATGCATTGTGATGAGGCTTTAGTTTCATTTACTAACGTGCATGTTCAATTACAGTTATTGGGTCACAAATTGTGTGATTCCCTTTTTCCCTCGCTCCACTTCATGTCTGTACATTTAGTTTTCTTCTTCGTAGTCAGAGGCTCTTTTCCAATTCCCTATTTTTGTTGCTATTATTCGAAAATTCACGACTTAGTCAACTTCAACTTATGAAGAAGACTCGTGGTTAAGGAACGGTACTATTAATGAGAGTGATGCGAAATAGGTCGCCTTCTATGTTTACCAACTTTTTTTCTTAAGTTTCGTTACTTTTCTTGTTCCATCAGTTTTTCTTCGTACTTTTTGTTAGTTGTCTTATATTTTGTATGATATGTGAACTTTAGTATGGAAATAACGACGTGTTGATCGTGAGTGGAAGGGATTTCGTTTCCGCGAGAATATACAGGAACACTCCAACAGGGTATATTATGGCGTCTCGAAGTGTTCGGCTGAAAGAGGTTCCAGAGCAGAAGGGAAAAGTCCGGTAAGCAAATGCATATCAGATTTTGCTTAGCCACCTCAATGCTTTTGTGCCATCCAGTGGTTATCTGTACATGTGATGGTAGGCAAAGGAACAGAAACTTGTGAAAATCATAATGAATGTAATAATAATCATCATAACTAAACCTTGGAATGAATAGCTTCGTTTTGTTCCTTTTTCCGATTCACTTGAAAGAGTGATTACGTCATAATACCTGTGAGCGGTAAAGTTGGAAAACTGGAGATGTGTTTGGTTTTTTCTTCGATTTTTTTGTCCCTACCGTAAGTTCTTTTTTGCCCATATTCGCCAAAGAGCAACGGTCGCAAACATTCGCTAAAAAAA